CGTGGTATGCCATGGTATACAGCCAAGATCGCGTTCTCCTTGTAGATGACTTCCCCTCGCTCAACCGGCAATCCACGGTGTCGCGTCTGCTTTCGGCACCATCTCCGAGTTTCCGACAGATATTACCAGTCTCATGGATCAAACCGTGGATCCGTGCACCGACTTCATTTCGTATTCATGCGGGACGTGGTACAATAAGACCACCCTCCATAGCAAAGCCACAATCAATATGTTCACCGTGATTGCCGCTGCGGCGGACAAGGTGATCGAAAAGTTGTTTAACGCCAAGCTGCCTAAACTCGCCGAGTTCTATGACTCATGTATGAACACTGACACAATAGACACCTTGGGCTTGGCTCCCATCGAAGCCCACCTCAAGGCGATCCGCAGCGCCAACTCTACCGTCGAAGCTATCTTTCGCGGCGCGGCCATCTCCAACGCCACCGGCGTGAATCTGTTCGTGAAGTTGTCGATCTGGCCCGACGACGCCGACGTCACCCGCAACATCTTGAGTGCCGAACACCCGGGATCGCCGTTTGGCCGAGAATATTTCCACGAACCATTGTGGGCCGATGTTGAAAAGCCGTACCGTAAATACCTTGCCACGATCTTCACGCTGGCCGGCCACGCGGAGGTGGAGGCGGCCATTGATGTCGTGATTGATTTTGAACGCCTCTTTGCCGGGGTAGTTCTGTCCAATCGCAGGCTCCAATCGGCCGTGACGTCCGACAACATCCAGTTGTCGCTCAGCGCCGCCAACGCGTCGTATCCATTGGGGGTAGGTCTCCAATTGCAAGCGTTTGGGTTCGACGTCGGCGAAGGGTCCAACACGACCACAGTCGTTTTGAGGAACATCCGTTATTTAGATGGCATAGAAGGGCTTCTCCCGTCTTGACCGTCGACAGCCTCAAGACCATTATCGAGTACAAAGTGCTCGACTTCAACGCGCCGTTCCTGTCAACACCGTTTGTGGAAGCACACTCGAACTTCTTTAAGATTAAAAATGGCCTCAAAGTACCCCCGTCGCGGGCCATGATCTGCCGCACTCAGGTGCAGACATCCATGGGCGAACTACTGGGCTCGTACTATCTCAAGGAAGTGTGGACAACCGATACTGCCGCGTTCGCCGACTCGCTCGTGCTGAAGCTGAAAGCGGCCTTCAAGACCGAACTGGAAAGTGCGGGGTGGCTCGATGACACAACTCGGGCCAACTGCACGACCAAGATGTCCAAGCTCGCCCAACTCTTGGGGGGGCCTAAGAACCCCAAGACGTACCCCACCTTGACGTTTGACCCCAAGGCTTACATTGCCAACCTGAACAAGGTGTCTGCGTTCGACACTGCGTTCAAACTAGCTCAGATCGACACTGCCGTGGACAAGCAGATTTGGGTGGATACACCTGCGTATGACGCGAATGCGGGGTACCATGAGGCGACAAACACGCTCTTGTTTCCCGCCGCCATCTGGCAGCCCCCGTTCTACTATGCCAAGGCGGACCCGTCCGTGAACTATGCCGCCATTGGCAGTACCATCGGCCACGAAATCACCCACGGCTTCGACATCGACAGCGACGGCAAAATTAATCTGTTGTGGACTGCTAACGTGACGAAAACGTTCGACGAAAAAGCCAAGTGCTTCATCGAGCAGTATGGGTCCATGGACGTCAAGAGCGAGCTCACGGGTGATTTTCTCGGCAAGTTGGACGGCAAATTGACACTGCGGGAAACTATCGCCGACAATGGGGGCCTCAACACTGCGTACCGGGCGTACCGGGACTACGTGCACGCTGAGGCCGAAGCCACCAAATACACCAAGGAAACAGGCAAAAAGATGTTTTGGATCTCGCACGCCCAATTGCAGTGCGCAAAGAACAGCGACGAGTACCTCCAGTATCTGCTCACCCGCGAACACCCCCCTGGTCGCTACCGCTTCATCGGGTCAGTTCAAAACTCGGTCGATTTTGCCAAGGCGTTCAACTGTCCTGTGGACTCGCCCATGAACCCGACCAAGAAGTGTGTTTTGTGGGAATAGATTTATAAACTCGATGAATGCTTCCAAGTGATGTAAATCAAGAGGTGGTTTTGGCACAACAAAATCGTCGTAATCACAACCTTTGCAGTTTAAATCACAGCAAGTACTCCGGAGTAGTATTTGAGAACCCTGTTCAATCGAATCTCGCTGACCGAATCGGGCACCGATCTCTTCCATTGGTCAATCCGAAATTTATTGTCGCTGATTAGCTTCTACGTAGTATTAATACAATCCATTTTCGATTTTCTACCAGAAAGGGTGAAGGGGATATTAATTAGCCAATCAGATATCTCGGCTCTATTTGTGCTCGATTGACAGTGAACGAAATAAGCACACATACTGTAGTACAGTACCTGAGTACAGTCAGAATTGCATACCGCTTAGTGAAGTTGCCCGAACAGGGCCTATACGCTTTACGCTTTGGGCACAGTCTCCTCGTGTGTTCATCGTTTTCTTCTTCTAAGGCTAACGGTATTACTATACTACTGTGGTGCAATTTTTATCCGTCTATAAAGGTACAGTACCTATTCGATCTAAACCGTTGTATATAAATAATTCTACTACAAATCAGATGTGGTGCACGTCATCTATAAACTACCAACTTTTCACAAAATTTTCTGACTTCTATTTCATATTCATTACTCAAAATTGCAGCAAATTGAGACGTATAATCGACAGATCT